CTCATTTTGAGCATTAACACGTATAGATCAATTATCCCTATTTCCTGGCCGAGGGTTCAACTGATGTGCTGGTTGTAATGCTCTGGATTTTGAGCACAGTGTGCAACCAGCCCAGCCCTGGCAGGAGGAGCTGTATCACAGCTACAAGGCTGTTGTGTAAAAGGGAGCCACCACTTTCCCATGACTGTCTCAGACAAGCCCGGTCTGCACGGAGTTCAAGGCTCCATGGCGAGACACACGTCATGATAGGGATCTTCCTTGCAGGGCCTGTTAAGGGGTTAAGAACTTCAACAGCACTTTTGGGTACTGCCTGCCCTTATTCTTCCACCTTGTGAGCAGCACGGTGGCAGGAGACTGATCACCTTGTTCCCTGAGAAACAAAAAACTGCCCAGCCTGTGAAGCAGCTCCTGCTGTGCAGGCCCCAAAGGGTAACAAAACTGCTTGGCCGTACAGGTGCTGTTTGCCAAGGTCACCCAAACAATTCTTAAAATGCTTTGTCCTTCCTGCCGAAGCATTCACCTCTCTTAACTAGGAAGCATCAGAGACTACAAACTGCATTTACAGCATCTAAATGATGGGCTTCAGTTGTTATGTTAGCATCTTTTAGAGCAGGTTCTAGGCAATGTTTACATGACTGCCAAGAGTAAGCAAACAGGCGTGATCATTACTACACAAATACCCCACTTCTAAAAATAAATAAGATGTTCCTAGGGCGCATCCTCTCAGATTTCGGTCTTTTGCCACATGTTTCATTTTGGTCCACATTTTATTACTAGAGAGAAACTGACATGCTGACTTCAAAGCACTTTGAATTTCCACAAGTTTTGAAGTCACAGCTGAATCTGAAATTCTGCATCTTTCCCATCTTTAGCAAAAAACACTAAGTGCTGGTTTTGGATGTTTCTAAAACAGGGAGGGAATCTAACCATCTTGATGAATGCAACTTCACTCAGTTATATTTAAGTGGAAAAGCTTGACTTTAGAAGCACGTTAATGAGGTTTACTCACATTCTTTTAACTGATTATTTCCATATTTTTCCTGCTTAACAATAATATTCTTGGCCTTAAGTTCCTGCCATTGTTATTTTACCTGGCAAGATTAAAATTATAGTGTTAAGTTAGCAACATTTCTCTTTGCCTCAGAATTTTCTTATTTATTTTCTTAAGAACTATTGAGGGACTGAAAGTAGACTAGAGCCATAAAGCTACATGCATGCAAGTTTATGTGCTAATTTTAAGCACAGATCTGAAACTTGGGGCAGATACCTCTTTACAATTGCATAAAGCAGCACAGGCTCTTGTTATCTTTCAAAGGCATGATTAGATAGATGCCAGTGTTATTAAAATATTCTTTAGCACACGTTCATGTGCCTTCCATGATCACAGCGTGCCCTTTATGTGTGTGCATGTTACACAGCAACAGACCTGCCACCAACCATGGATGCATCAATGCTGCACCATTTTGTCCAGTAATTTTCGGGACTTCTGGAAGCAAAGGACAATTCTGCTTTTCATAATGATTAGTGCTAATGGGAAACCATGATTAGCTGTATTTGAAGATCTACCAGTAAGTAACCCTCTACAGTTCCATTTCTAGTCTGGAACAGCAATCTACAGCTTTTCTAGGAAAAAAAAAGAAATCTAATTATAATACTGTTAACAAGAACTCGGAAAATATGTGCTTTAGAAACCATATACATAAGCATGGAGAGTTAAAGGGAATACTCTCTCTGCTAAGATCACCTCTAACATGTTTCTTTCAGCCACAGAGACCTTTCATCTACTGTAGATGCATAAGCATGAAAATTGGGCACTTCTTAATTTTTTAAAAAATATATTATTTTACTTTAAAATCTCTATTGAGAATTGATGACACTTCACCCCACAAGAGGATAAGAAAGATGATGCTGTTGATGAGCACATAAGTACCCTAATTGCTGGTCCACAAACTGTCCTGGATATTCAGCACCTCCTTCTAAAGAACCCAGCTGTCCTAAGTGGATACTGTAGGTACTAGACTAACGGATACATCTCTTGACCCCTCTTCTCTTAGTTATTTGCAAACTATTTGTTTAAAAGTGGAAGATTTTTTTTTTTAAAACAAGAGAGTTTGTTTCATTTCAGGATATTTTATGAACCACTTCAGAGATCTTGATTTTATTCCTATTGTCAAACAAGCTAGAGGAGGGAGCTGATTTGTATCTCTTGCTTGTCAACTAGTTCATTTTGACAGAAGACTTTATTTCTGGCTTCTTTTAGATACATTAGTTCAGTATGTTCTGAAACCACTTAACTGGTGGGCCCCACAGAGATGCAGGAAACACCTGGTTTGCAACCTCTCAAGGACTTGATAGCCAAGGAGTTCAGTATTGCCAGGATCTGAATAGCTATAGAAGAATTGAGGTAGTTGGCAGCTAAGCAGAGACTTTGAAGTTTTAAACTTTGCTATTACAAAAAATGTCGACCTTTCCACATGATTCAGAAACTAGAAATGGATATAAATACCCTCAGATATATTTCAAGTACATTACAGATGAGGTCATCCTCTTGCTTTCTGCTTTTCCCTACTTAACCTTCACTGACCAGTGACAAAAAAAAAAAAAAAAAAAAAAAAAAAAAAAAAAAAAATTAATAGTTTCTTCTAATTTAGCTCTTACTTTTAATAGCAAGGGCAAAGCTCCTCTGGCTCATACCACCTACCACAGAAAAGATGCTCACTGTTCTATGTTACGAGGGAAGCCTTCACCTCCATAACTAGTGAGTGGCAGAAAAGGAGAAAAATAATTTTTTTCTTCTGCTTTGTCTTTCCATAAATACAGGAGAAATTGTTATATTTAATATTATTTTTAAGTAGCACAAAACACTTCAATCGCTTCCAATATCTGTCAATTTTCCTGTTCTTATTCTTATAAGAATATTTATCTCATTATTTTGCTTGAATGTATCTTAGATATCCAGACAGTCATGAGCACAAAGAACCTTTACATTGGTGTACAAAATCTGGTTTAGTTAGTAATTTCTGAATATTGCTTGTTCAGAGCCAAGCTGGTTTCAAGAGAAAATAAGACTCTTTAGGCCTCCGCATACATTATAACCACTACAGTGATTTTGTGTTGAGGAACACATCTTTCTCAGTGACTGGCTGCTTTAAATTTTGTATATAACTGTGTTCAATGTCAGCCAGCTGTTAATTAAAAAAAAAAAAAGTTATAATAGGAAAATGCTCTTCATGATCTCATAGACCTATTGCTTTGATTGCACACTGTAGGTTGAATCTTTGAATATTTTGCACTTAGATGTTGATGCCTCACTACTTATAATGGAAATCAACTTCATGAGATCAGGGGATTTATAAAATACAGGTTCACCACTGAAGTAAAGCAGCAATGCACCAGTACTTGCTTGAGAGTAAGAATGAGTATTATCTTTTTCCTGGAGACCCGGTAAGCAGTCAAAGTGAATAGTGTTCACACGAACAACAGTAATAGCAGGTAAAAAGTGGACAGTGTCCCATGCTGGAAATTATTAAATGTTCAGATAAAGTGGATTATACAACAGGTAGAATTTAATAATTGAACATCAACTCCAACACGTATCCTGGATGAATAAAGCTGTTTTGGTTTAGAATCGTTTAAACAGCACTAGCTTATACAGAAAGGCCTGCTAAGTAGGAAGAGAATCTGTCCATTTAATTGACCATCAGAATAAAAATATTAAAAAAACTGGAATCAGGCTTTTCTCATAGATGGTAATTTAATAAGCCAGCTGAGAGACCTTCCACAGATGAACAAAATATCAACAAATGAAGTTTGTTAATCTTAGTTTAAATGTGTGAGCAGGAAATGCAGTTCTTCACTAGGAAAAGCATTTCATCTACGTAAGAACTACTTGGGAAAGCCTTTCTCCTACAGAGCCTCAGATGAGGTAACGACTTCCACCAACAAACCACCTCTGCTTATGATGCAGTGAAATACTGACGGTTCTGAACGACCGTTATCTTACATGATGAATCAGAAATAGAATTCCATAACAAAAAGAAAGTGGCTAAGTACAGAAACTATCTTCCTCATTCAGAGAGAACTGGACAGCGAGGTTGTACATTTCTGGGAATAGGCTGACCACGTGCCTTGAAGATATCTCTTTAACAAATAAAACAGACTATAAAAAGGATGGCTTGTGTGGTTCACATTATTGATTGATTATTCCCAGATGTTACTTAATAGATTTGCAGCCTTGTTAAATAACTTTCCTATTTTAGCTTGGTTTTTTTTTTTTGTGTTGTGCAAGAGGAGTAAACAAGATGACTTCTGTGCAGAGTTATTCAATAAGACGTGTGTCTTAATACTTTATAAGATAATAGCATATTCGTAACCACTTAATGTCTTGTCCATTAAGTCAAACAAAGTTTTAAGTCTGGTAACTGTAGAGAGAATTACAGTTAAACATCTGCTTTAGAATTGTAATTGATTTTAAAAGATTATCACACAAAGTCAACATACCGTACCTTAAAGAGTAATATCAGTAATTAGAAATCAAGTGAATTGTTAAAAATCAGAACTTACTAAATAAACAATGAATAGGCTACAAACTGAGCTCAAAACAGAAAATGCTTACCTTATTTTTTGCAACATCGACGTAGAGATCTAACCCTGCCGGAACTGTAAACTTACTGTTCACTAAGCAACGAATATAGAAGCCTTTCAACTGCTAATTGTGGCTTACTTTTTACAATGTTTATTAATAAACTCATTTTCATGCAAGTTTAAAAGGAAAATACTAATTCCATGGGCAAATACACACTTGTTCATTACTCTAAATTATGTACATTGTATTTGCATCTAATATTCAGAAGTGCAAAGTCCACAGTGACATAAATAACAATAGGTTCATAAACTATTAGATGACAAGTTTCCAAAAACATTAGTAACTGCATCATAATATATCTTTTTGTATACTGCTGAAATCAAACATTTTGCAGTAAAAGAACATACATTTCCGCTACATTCAAGTGATTATTTTATTACCATATATTATGCCTTACAAACTTTATTGAAGATCAGCAACAGCGCTACAAAACCATACCTTAATGCAAAAGATGTACTGCATGGTATGTGCAGGCATAGCAGATGAAAGAGAAGACCTGGAAAGAAAAACGAGCTAGGAAAACTTGTACAAAAATGGATAGTAATACTGTCTAACACTGAGTTATATCTTACTTATAACAGACCTGAAGGACTAAGAGATCCAATTTAGAAACATCTGTGCACTGTAGGTACAGTTTGGTGCAGATCAAGAGTGCACTAATGCAGACAATGTAGTACACGTAAGATAATGCACAAAATCAGCTGATATTCATACAAACAACTAATTTGTTTACAGTAAGTAGGGCAGCACAATTGTAGTGCTGCATCCTTGGCACTTGGTGATAGGACGACATGTATTTGGTTAAACTAATGTAATAAAGAGGATTTACACTGGTTTGTAAGATGTAAAACATATCCCTTTAAACCTTCTTGTTTTACAGCATTTTCTTCTAATTTTCAAGTTCAAATTAAAACATCATACACTAACTAGATATGGAAGACATTTTAGATATTGGTTTAAAGCAAGATCTTACATAAAAAATGACAGGGCGACCAAGTAATTCAAATGATGTTAATCAAATTTGCTAGCGATATCTCGTGCTGAAAATGAAGTCTGAAACATTGTTGTTTGTTCTTAAAAAGCAATCTTGTATTAGAACTCGCAATCTCCTTATGGTCTTTTCCTGAATAATAATTTATTTTTTAATGTCCCTTTCATATATAATAATTTCACTTAAAAGACCTGAAGTCAGTCATCTGAGAAGCTGTAACCAAATTAAGTTTGGCTTAGGATATAATATCCCAAAATGAAAGATATGCTCTCCCAATAAGAAAGCATGTTTCATCTGAGAAAGCATTCCAATTCAAAGTGATTGTCTTTGTATTAAACAATGTTAACAACCATCTGAAGGGAGCCTGTTTACTTTTGCCTGCTTTAAACTGGCTACATTGCCACTTTATATTATATATAACAAATGTAATAAAATATTAAGATGGAATGATGTAACGTTTAAAATTAACTGGTTTAAGATATTTTACAAAGACATTTTATCATATATGAACTACACAACACGCAAGAGTATGAAAGATTTTGAACATATACACACTTCTGTACTTTCATGTAGCCTATTATTTCCCACCAAACACTGGTGTCTACGATTCTAAAAATCCTCTCAGGAAAAAAAAGAACAAAAACCAGAATGATGCTTTGTCGGTGGTTTTTGTTGTTGTTGTTGTTATTTGTTTGTTTTTTTTTAACCTCTTAAAAATCAAACCAATTAGAAGTAGAATTTCTCTAATGACTTTTTGTTTCCTTTCCCGTTTTTGTATTTTGCACAAAGCTCTTGAAGTGGATCCAACATACATTAAAGGAATAGCCTCTCGGTCCGTTGCAGTGCAAGTTGCTAGGAATAAAATTTTAACCCAAATTGACCCCTTCCCCACTATGAACATTGAAACCTGCGGTCAAAGTGTCAATACCACTCATTATTGAGACTCCTTTCCCCCTTATTTAAAATGCAAATCTTTTCAATATCCATTTTGATGAAAGTATTTGCATAGAGCAGCCTTGCATTATTTCTAAAGAACATTATGAGTGTTTTAACACAAGATAAGGCACATGTTTTTCAACATTAATAATCTAAAACTAATCCTGAGGAACTGCTCTTCCCCATCGGCAAAATCTGCTTTTTTAACATACCCTGTATTACCTGAAGAAAGCAGAAAAGCAGTACAGAATAAACCAAAATTCTTTTGATGAACTAAATTCAGAACACTAATAGCTCCTGATCATAGTGTAACAAATTCATAGATAAATAATTAAGTCATACTCTAAATAAATTGTCTTTGGGGGGGAGAAAAGGATACAGCCAGTAGCACTGTAGATGTTAGATAAAAGTTCACAGAATATGGATGACATTTATAGTGAGTTTTGCTAAGACAAGCTCCTGTCAGAAACAAGGTAGCTAAACTGTGAGGCACTTAAGGTTGACGAGAAAAGGAGGAATGCAAGGGATCTGTTCCATAGAAAACCTGAATTTGCATATCGTATCCTTGTATTAAGCCTTCTATTAAAGTGCTAGAAATGGAGACTTAAAACAAAAGGATTTACATATAAAATAAGTGATTAAAGAGCTTTGTATGCATTAAATTAAGTGCTTTTGATTCTCATTTCAGAGCTTTTTAATTTTTTAATTATTTTTTTTTCATGAAGTCTGGAAATAATCCAAGTGTGAAATTATCTTCCTTGTGCCAATGGTGCTATTTGTAAAGTGCCCAATTATTTTTCTAAATAACAAAACCATTTGCCTTATCTTATGTTGTATAGCATGACATAGTCTTTAGTACATATGTAATCCGTATCACAATGACACAGTCAGTCTGATGGAAAACAGCACGTGCTTATTTTTAAGTCAAGAGTTTTAATTCCACCTGCCACCCTAAAAAGTTAGGGTCTTGGATTACATATCCACCAGTACATAGTGCAATCAACCTCAGTTTTTCAAAATCTAATTTAGCTGTTGAAGTCCAATGTTGAAAGACAGACTTATCAAGCTTTTCCTCAGAGCAGCCTGATACCCAGACAAAATCACAGATGGAGCTCTAGATCTGAATTACATAAATCCACTAGATGCCAAATCTGGGAAGGATCTGGGCTCTGTTGGATGATGAACAGGTTGAAGATGTGTGGCAGTTTGTGAATTACTTATCACATCTAACTGAGAGGGATATGCTTCATTTACATTTCCTCCATTGAAACCATTTTGGAACTGGTGGGAAAAAAAAAAAGAAGATAATATGAATGGTTAGTATGGAAAACTGATGCATTTATCTTTTAGAATCTGCCTGAATGAACAGATTGGATAAGCCCATCTTAAAATACAATCAATAGCTTTAAAACTTTGTGTTAAAGTACGGGCTTAATCACCAGTGAAGCCTACCCTTGCTGAAGTTAGTGAGAGTCTTGCTTCAGGTGAAGGAAAGAAACATCATCATTTTCTAAAGCATAATATAGTTTCCATTTGTAGAAAGCAAAATCTGAGTATTTCTAAATTCCAAATCCAGCTGTTACATTTAAAAGCAACCTATTTACATAGCTTCATGTCTGCAGTGGGATATAGATTTACAGCTCTTACAGGAATGCGTATTCAGTCCAATTTGTTTGCTGAAATGTACTGCATTCAACCCACAGGCTAAGCTATCATAGGATGGGCTTTCTAACAAATGGTCTTCATATTGACAACACCAAATAATAGCAGTGAATGGGTTTCATCAGTCTTGACATAATTGTTCATAGGATTATTTTAACCATATGATGTAATGCTTCCTGTCATGCTATGAAAAAATATTTTTTTTCTACAAAATACTCCATTCGATCACGCAAAGAAAATTCACAGAAATATTTAAACATTTCTATTATCTCTTTGGGAGTAGCCTACATTGGAAGTATTCATTCATTCACTCAAGGTTTGTCTTTAAAACATACGTTATACGTTCACTCATTCATCTATCAAAACATGCTGGTTTTGTGGAAACTTCTTTTGTTCCTGCTGGGCAAACATGGAAATTTGGTAAAACATGCAGTTGTTCTTCTAAATTCTTAATGACCAGAGTACAGCTGTGTGAATTACGCTTTAAATCAAATATGCCATGCTCATAAAGATAGAATAACATGTTAGAATAACTTGTGAAAGCAGTAGATTACTTCAGTGTTAATATGAGAATTGCATTTATTAAAATAAAATTTCTAACAAAGTTCTCTGCACAGAATCAAGTAGTCAGCATGTTTTCTCTTGTTTAGTAAAGGAACTGACCTTAAATAAGCCATCAGTTTATCCAGTGCCTTTCTGCCCACTGAAACATTTCTGGTGATGGAGACTACGCTGGCTATTTTCCTAATGCAAATGCCTGAGTTCAAAGAGTTTCTGTGGGTACCACAGGTTAATTACAAGTTAGGCAGAAGGAGAAGGCAGACAATCACAACAGACTATTTTTAATCCCACTGTTTTTTTTTTGTGTAGAAACCATTGGGAGGCTGAGGAAAGGACAGCAATCTGCACTGACAGAGCTGAAGTCCACCCACTGTCCAGCCTCCAGGTGACATCAGGAGGGCAGACTTAGTCCCCCACTCCGAAGTGACACCTGCTATCCACTTACTCACAGCTTTACTGCAGTTACCAGTAGCCAGTAAAGTCAAACCTAATTTACTTATTATCATATGTTGTGATACATTCTCCCTACTAACAATAAATAAAAGTGCTTTATTTGCTTTGGTATAGATGATGCTTTACAACACTACAAGTTCAAGTGCAGCAGCTATACTTCTAACTTACTACTTCCTATGAATGTGCTTATTTTAAAGTTCCACTATCTCCTCTGATACCTCTGGAATTCAAACATATGTAAATACTGGGTTCTTTTCCTGCACCAAGGACACTTTCAGGTAACATGAAAACAAACTTTCTTTGTATTTAAACATTCATCAACAATTTCAGAATCTTACTTTGCACTCAGACAATAAAAATGTTAATTGGCAGATGAGAATAAAGGTCAAAACTAAGTACAGTCTGATACAAAAGGATACAAAAGGTTGTAGGTTTTTGTTTTGTTTTGTTTTTCTTTTGTTGTTCTGGGGGGTTTGGATTTTTCTGATGGTTTTTCATTTTGGGTTGTTGTTGTTGTTGGTTTTTTTTGTTTTGGTTCGGTTTTATTTGACCAGTATGAAGCAGTATGGGTTGCAGAAGACCATGCTATTTGTTTTAGGACAGGCAGTTTCTCCACCCATAAGTAAGTTGTGGACCTACTAAGACTTGGAGGTAGCTGTCAGCTAGCTACAATCACTCTTATGTAAACAGTGTAAGGGGAATAATTCTTTTTCATTTCATCAAGAAGTGTGCCACTCTTTTAAGCTATGTGGACAAACATTCAGCAGTTCTCTTCAGAGGTAAACAAGAGCTGACATGCAGAAGAGTAGCATCAATTCTTCATTAGGCATCCGCTTATGCAATGCTATCCAGATCCATAAAGCATGCATACATCATGGCAAAATGAGTGGAAACTGAACACTCTGACAAAGGCTAAATTTTCACAAAAGTAGCCTTTGTTCATGCTTTTATGACAACCAAGTTAAAAGAAATGTTATTATGGCAGTACACTGTTCCAGCAAATAAAAAGTAGTAGGAACTCATTTAGTGTATTTACTGTCATAGTCATATTTACTGTCTTAGTCTTTAGTCAAACTTGGAATTATTTACGTACTGGCTCATCAAAACCTTTGAGTTATATTAGCATAGCTTTTAGGAAAAAAAAAACAAAACAATTTTTTAGCCCTGTTACAGGGGTGAACTTGGATGATCCTGGAAATGCTTTGCATCCCTGTTATCAAGCACTATCTTGGATTAATAACACTGGCCACAGCTCTGCAAAAAACACTCAAGTGCTGTGCAAGCCCTGTGTCTGCAGCTTGTCAAAGTACTCGCATGATATTTCAGCCCTTGGACATTTTCTGAACTGTTTTAGCTAAACTTACGTAATTTGGTAATTAGATTTTTTCCACAAATTAAACAGTTTTAAGAACTGTATGTTTTGTAGTTGTATTATGCATACCAAGAACTGGGTATGTTCTACTTGCATTCCTCACCGATGGTTTGTGTAGTTATTTAACAATTAATATTTTAATTTGGTAAATGCTTATACACACACAGAAGCATTTACAGGAGGATCACTACTTTACCACATAAACTCATTGGAGTGAAAAAAAAGAAGTGTGTCCCTGTACTCAAGCACCATTAACAGAAATAAAAGTTATAAATTAAAAGACCTCAGCAATGGCTATGCAAAAAATCAGGAACTGTGTTTTCTTCTTTTAATTTTAAAATTGATTTTACCCATGAGAACTACACCTAAAATTGTATTTTGTGCTAGAGCAAGACTCCTCTTTTCTTCTGCTTTTATTTCCACTTTCTGTAGAATAATGTAAAAATGCAAAACAAAAGTCAATGTAATTATTTTCCCCCCTTTAGCTTTCAGCAGACTTAAATAGTAGCTTGAGAAAGCTGGCTTTTCCTTACATCCACACTACAACAATATCTAGATACTTTTCCAGACCCTTACAACACATTCCATGAAGATAAATCTGTCAGACAGTATTGCTGATATCATCTTGTTCCCCTAAAAGCGTACACAAATTCCAAACTTTTGACCAACCTGCTTCTCCTTTGCTCCCTTTGGGAAAATTACTGGTAGGTACGACATACCAATTCACTAGTGCCAAAGAGAGCTACCAGGATGCAGATACATATATACAAAACCTTTATCAAATGCAACTCAGTTCAGTCTCATGAAAATAATCAAAGCACTCACTGATAAACTACCAACTGCAAACTCAGCAACTCAATTATGACAAACTGCATCCCAGCAGCCATTGAAAACAACTAAAAATGTGATTCAAAACACAAGCAAAGTGACAATGCTGTTTACCATACCTTGTTTAACAATGTTTGCTGATTTGCCATCATGGGATCATACTGCATTTGATCCATGCTGTTTGGCTGTGCTTCTTGTGTGCACTGGTACATAGAAACAGCACCTGCATAACATGTTTGGGGGGTTAGCATAACCGACTCAGAGTTTATCCCACAGTCAAGATTTTCAGGGGCCTGCTGCAAACAACCAAGAAAATCCTCCAGGTTGGAAGAAGCAGAATAGGCTGATCTGTCAAGTCCTGCTACAGGGAAATCCATTTGGGAAAAGTTAGAAAGCTGTGGCATCATTGCTGTGGGTTGCTTGTAAGGAACAAATTCCTGCCTGCATGCATAGGGTGAAGTGTTTACTTCTGATTTGTAAGAAAACTCAGCAGCAGTGGCTTGCATGTCAGGGAACGTGTATTGCTGGGGCTGCTGCTGTGAGCAAAGAGGCATGCTGGTGCCAGGGCTCCAGTTTGTGAACATCCCATTGACGTGCATATGTTTCATTTTCTGACAGAGCTGTTGTTGTTGTTGTTGTTGTTGTTGCTGCTGCTCCATGAGCTCTTTCTGATGCTGACGAATTTGATGCTGATCTAATTCTTGCTGTACCAAGCAACCAGCATTCTCGACCAGGGGCTGCTGCTGGTTACAGCCCAAATATAAGAAGTCAGACTTATTTAAGGAATCCTGCACATAAGTCAGGATTTCATCAGTGATGTCAATGTCCCCAATATCATCCATACCAGATAATTCGGTTTTAAAAAACTCCTCATCTTGCTGAATACACTTTAGATCTTCAAAGTCAATACCCAGATTTTTCATGATGCTATACAAATCATTTGTTTTGTTATCTTGAAAGAGCGCTGCACTGTCTTCAGGAAGCGGCACACTGCTGTCCTGGGAACACTCCATTAATTCCCTCTTGAGAATATTGTGACTTCCAGCAGGTAGGAGACTATCTGTCCAGTCACTGCTAACAACACCACTCAGTTCATCCCTGCTGTCTGCAAAGAAGTTTCGCTCAAAGGAAAGTTTGTGTGATGCTGGAGGACAGAGATACACAGACTCATCTTGCCTTAACATGGCACCTAGAAGGGAATTTGGATCCACAGAATCCCTGTGTAATGTAGTTTTGCCTCCTTTTCCTGTGGTGGTTTTACTCCTTGGCTGAGAGGCATCTGATAAGCTGGACATGGGGAAAGACAGCTCATATAACACAGCCTCACCAGTGGCAAACATGAAGGGCAATTTCATGTTACGCTTCCGTAGATGTTCTGCTCCTTCTTCATCTCTGAAAATAAATCATGTATATAGCATAATACTGTAGCACTCAATGGTTATACAGTAATCTTTTTGTCCCCTGGAATTTATATAAAAAAATAAATTATTCTATTGGAAGACATTTTTCAAATTCCTAGCTATTCCAGCTCAACTTGACTCAATGAGCCAAGAGGGAGATTATGAAATAAGGAGCTTATGACTGTAATATGACCTTTATATGTTACATTTGTAATTAAATCTAGATAGCATACACCATTTTCTGTGTATTAGTAGCTGAAATGAATGTAAGTGGCCTTTTACCATTTGTTGTGGTTTTCTTGACAAAGCAAGTAAATGAATACTTCAACAGTGAAGCATTAATTTTCATCATTTTACAAACTCCTCTAGAAAAATTATTTTACCTGTAATCCTAAATTCTTTATTATATCGAATTCAACTAAGCACCAAAAGACCTTAATATATTTTTAATTTATTTTTTGCTGTTTCCTCCACATAACCACTACTGGGATTTTTGATCTTTACTAAAGAGAATTCTGAATTAAGTATACCTTAGATGGAAAAACTTGGTACTTGTACTACTCTTACTATTTACATGAAATAAAAATGTCAAAGATCTCATACATAAATAAGAACTATGCCATACAAGAAATACCAAAATCCTTTCCAACATTTGTTAGGAAATAAGATTTTTTTTTTTTTTTTTTTTTTGGAGTTCCAGATTTGAAGGACACTTATTTAAAAGTGAAGAACAACTTCCTGAACGTAAACAAGATCAATGAAAAAGGTTCAGTTTCTGAAGCACAGTGCTTTATACAATGATGACTCACGTAAGAGGTCTTTGTGTGGCAATGATGTAATCTGGTCTTCCATTTTTATAGACAAGGCGTGCATTTGCCTGTACCCAGGCCCACCGATTTTCTTTGGTTAGAAGCCTGAAGACAGTCATTCCACTCTCACCTGTCTTCATCACTAGAGTTAAAGAGTAAACATACTGTTTACTGTCAAGTGAAGTAAAATAGGAAAATCTGGCTTGTCATGAAAGTTATCCCATTCTGCAGAGCAATGTACAATCTCACATCCTCAGTCACACATTTCTGTAAAGCACTAATAATGTATTCCTAGTGCAATATGACAATCAATCACTTTTTAAAATGTCTATTTTAAATTATCAGTAAAATAAAAGCAATAATAGCCAAAATTACAAGTAATTGTTAGATATCCACAACATACAGGCAACAACATCCTGAATACAAAGGGACTAAAGTAACAAAACAGCTTTCCAGGAAAAAAAGCAACAAAATCTCACAAAGACATTTTTATGCTCCAAAGACAATTATATTACAACTAACAACAAAATAAAGAAGTCCACCAAATAGTTACTTATCACAGTACTCTTGTCACATTTTTATCTGAAACAAATCATGCCACCCGACTCAATAACAGAAATTTATAAGACACTAGCATGCTAATTCAGAAATTAATCATAAAAATTTATCAAAAGAAAATATATTATTTCCTAATAAAAAAGTAATCTCTGAAATATTCACTAAGTCCAAAGGAACCTGCTGAATAGCAGAAATCAGATTGAGCAGAGAAGGAAAAGAGCAAGATGTGACAGAAACTGAAATTTAGAACCAAAAAGGCTCTAAATAGGGATATTAAATAAATATTTTCATTGACTGTAAATTCTTACAAAGAGCAAAAGATCATGTAAAATGAATAGTATGTTTTTTGTTAATGATGACAGAAGTTTGAGTACTTCGATGTTTTTACTGTGAATACATGACTTGATTTCTCATAGTCTTTCTTGAAGAATGGAGCTTACTTCGGACATGATTTTCAGCACAATAAAGCATATCAGCTGCATGAATGAACTGGTATCCTGTTCCTCTCATACACAGCTCTGCTTCAGTGTATCCCAAGACAATCTTTCCTCTGAAAGGTAAGAGCAAAAGATTGCAACATTGCTGATGAACCATCTCACTGAACAAACGCCAGGCAAGATAATTATGGCTAGAACATTTTAGACGTAAATGTTACCTACATTTTGCAGCAATATCAGTTGTATGCAGAAACATGAGTGCTCTAATAAAAAATGCAGTTAACAAATCATAAAACTTTTACCAGTTGGCTTCAGTGACTTGAAACAGGTTTGCAAAATTGTTAGATCATTAAATAAAGATGCATATTACAGTTCAGCTACACTCCTAAATTCCAAACTTTTGAACAAATGACTACACCACTCACCATATACTTTTACAAGAGCCAGCTCCCATTTGTTTCAATAAAATACACTTTTTACTAGGCCTCATCTCACTGCATTTACCTATTTTTACTTCTTGCATGTAGTATTAAGTAGGGGCCTAACTTTAGTTATGCAAAACTGTAGAGTTTATTATTTGCAATTTTTCAAAATTATTAAAAAATAAAGTGCATCTCTGAATTACACCCTTTTGTTACTGAATGGCCTTGGGCTTTGTATTTAAGCTTTCCAAGAGATACATCACAGAAGCACAGGCAATAGCTGTCAGGGTTGGCCATGAATAAAATGCAATACTTCAGTGCACATCAGGGAGATGGAGAACTCTAAAGAAGTTGTGAGTGTGCAATGAGATGCATAGAAAGATATAGAAAAAAAGTAGTAATAAAGAGTAGGAAATGGGATGTGTGGTGATCCAAAGGTAGAAAAGAATGGAAAAAAATAGGAAACAGGAACAATAACTGCGCTGTAAAGCATGACAAAAATTGAAAGCTTCTAGCAATGTACAATGAAAATAAAAAGAGAGAAAATTAAAAGCTTGAGTTAAAACTTTGATATTAACTTTCATTTGTAGCACCTCAGAGAACTCAAGAAAAATATTTTGGTTTATCAGTACAAATAATATTGAATAATTCAATTCTAAGTTATTCCCTAAGTATGATCACAGGAAATATCCCACCAGAAATGAGTCTGAAAACTCAGCATTATCAGCCAAAAATAGGAGGAAGGGAAGAAGGAAACATATTTCTTTTACATAAGGAATCATCGTAGCGGGCTTAGTGCTATGCTGATACATAGTTGCCTTGTGTTGATCCAGCAATGCAAAAGCTTTCCCAGTTTTCAAAAAGGAAAAAAGAAATGTTTGGAACCAGGTAGTCATAGTACAAAAAGATAACTTAATTTGTAGTGAATAACATTTCAACTGCATTTCACATCTATCTGAAGTGCGCAACATAGAACCAAAAAGAAACACTTATTCCATCATTTCTAAAACCAGGCTACAACCAGATGAAACAAAATTTTTCTTCTTCTCCAATTTATTAGCATATTATATGTTACTGCAGACTAAATGAGACTGGTGTTTATCTTTTTTTATTTTTTAAAAGATTGAGAGTAAGAAATCAACATGTTTTTCCAGAAAGCACACCAAGTAAACTTTACTTCTCTATGTACTATCAGGGCTGAAAAGAAAAACCGTAACAAATTCTAATTCAGTACTGACTGAAATACTAACTAGCTTTACATTTTAAAGCCATACTTGAAACTCAACAGCCAATGGGAGAATGCTGTGCGGAATAATTTACTTACTTTGCATCACAGCCAATAGGTGTGAAATCCAGTTTGTGTTTTGTTCTGAAGATGAAGTTTTTGGTTCGTATCTCAAGGATAGAAGGTGGTTGTAGGGGAGTTGCTACCGCAAACAGAGCCAGCTGTGGAGACAATGCAGCACCATCCTTCCCTTTCTTGTTTTGTCCATGGAGAAACTTTAATCGTCCTTGAAAATTCATAGCCTTAGGATTATGAAAAAGCAATTGTTACAGGTTGGAGATACTTAAGATGCAGATATTTCTGTTACTAAGTAAAATGTATAGTGGTGGGGTTTTTTTAGACCCATCAGGTTCAAGATTTATAGAATGGCATACACAAAAGTTAGATAGTAAGTACTGAGTACTCTTGTTATTCTTCTTAACATACAACTTAAAGATGTATGAATTATTATACTTACTAAGAAAAAGAACTAGTGGGAAGGATGTTTTGTGAAATAAATACATAGAAAAGCAAATGCCCTTTGAGATTTTAAAATTTCTAATGAACACAGTATTGTATATATTTGCAATTAATATAACTTTTCATTTATTTCAGTCATTAGCACAGTATATGCAATTACATACAACTGCAAAAATCTTTTATAAGCAGTTCTATTTGTACAAAGTCACTTAGATTATAAACTCATATTTCTTTTAAAATTCACAGTATTGAAAAATAAAGCGTATACAGAAAAAAGAGCAACTGCAGCAAAGGAAAAACATAGTTCTGTTGATTACTGTAACTCTATAATTTCCTTCATTTCAAGACACTCAACTGAAATAATCCTTAAAAAACTCTTTAAAATAATCTTACATGTTTGTAATTCACAAACTATGCAGTGTTCCACAAAAAATTACTCATACTTCATGTAGAAAACTAAGCCATGAGAAATGAGAGAATGTGCCCGTAATTGCAACATGTTAAATGGGAACCTAGAAACAAAGTCTTTGTCATTTAGTGTCACTAACTGAAGCATAATGGGTAAAGCCCTCACATATCAACAGTATCAGTAATGAAACTGCAGTACATATTGTAAGCACAGTGTAGATTTAAGCACGCATGGAAGTTTTTACATAACTGCAAACTCACCAGAAACCCAGATGAGTTATCCAGGAGACATCGTAATCTGCAGATGAAATTCCTTTCCATAAAGGAAGAATTCTCTGGAGGAAGTTGGTCTGGGTTATAATAGTTTGCTGGCTGTGAAAAGCCATTATCTCCTACAGGAAAGGATTATTTATAATGATTATTTTTAGAAGAACACCTAGTGAAGGCTATCTATAACAAATCATCTTCCGCCTCATAAACAAAGCCTTAGGTCATGACCTGAGCAAGAACAATGTAAACTGGAAACATCCTCAGAATTTATATCAATTACAGCACTAGGTTAAGTATCACTTCTTCTAACTGGGTTACAATTTAAAGGTTACAGTATTTTAAAACTGCAAACAATTTAAAATTGAAAACAACCAAAAAACACCCCAGCAAACAAACAAAAAAACCACACTATTTTAGATTCTGAATCCGTTGCAGAGAGCAGATCTGCTAGGGAATATAGAACCATTGCTATAATGACAGATCTTCCACAGTGAAGTAGACATTCAGTAACAGAAACTCTTAAGAACTGATCATTCAAATGCTCAGTAAATGGTATCAAGCTGTGAAGCCATTGCTCTCCAGATGCTCAGCTGAAAGCTGTTGGGAGCAATAAATGAAGAGGCAACTTTAGAGGATCACTACAATAAACCAATCTGAGCACCTTTTGTATTAGATGCCAAAAAATAAAATAAAATAAAAATTAGTAGTATTTCATAACTAAACAGTGAAAATACTTCTTCAAGACAATGCTGATCAACAAAATGTCATAGCTACTGCTCCAAAGCTCCAGAATCTGGAATTCTTCTGCTTAAAAATGGTAATAATAATAAAAAAATAAAACAAATGACAGTCACATGACTAACCACTAGGATTAACAACCCGATTATCTTCTGCCACTTTAGGATAAGCATGTGCTGCCAAGTGGCATTTAGGAAACAGACTTAAACATTTGGAATATAAAGTAAAAACATAAGGTAGATCAATAAACGGCTGATAGAATACATATGTTCTGTATGGGGCCACATAGAAACATCAGAGCAAGTCTACTCAAAGCAAATTTAGCAAAGCAATCTTGTTTACAATGCATATTAAAATTAAAAAAAGCTTAAAAAAGCTCATTCCTGAGTAATTCATAAACATATACAAATTAAGAAAAAAAAAAAAAAACAGTGTAAAGCATTGCTTTAAGAGCGCTGTATCTCCATAATTTTTAAATTAGTCCAGATACTCTGAGAGAACTGTTTACCATGCATGTACAAATACCACTACTGCAGAAAGATCCTGAATTGACCTTCTAGACTTTGCAATGGATTCAGAGATTGTATGCCACTTGCTCACCCACCAGACTACGTTTTCTGAAACACAATTCCGTCTTTTGGACAGCTGGAAAAACTTACAGACAGGCTACGTGTTTGGTGCAACGACAGATCCATCACGACTAACTGCCCGTTCAGTTTAATCTCTTGTTAACTCAAGGGACTGAATTGGAGACATATGACATCATTGATGTGCTCAAGCAAGAGACCTTGCAAACTACAGGCTGTATAAATCTAACAGGAATGCTGAGTCACCCAGCTCACCAGACAACAGCATTAGGAGACTCCATTTTTTTCTTAAAAGAACAACTGTGCAAGCTCAATTTTTGATGAACAGACCTCCAGTCATGGAGGAAAAAAAAAGTCTTAGTTGGTAAAGCACATGAGAGGGGAAACCGTGGAATTACAGCCATCAGCAGAACTGTACGTTAGCCAAGGCCATTATTATGAGCTGAGCTGATCCTACAGATAAGGACATTCAGATTCAAGATGGTTGCCACCTAACTTTGATACTAGAAAAAAAAATTAAAAGTTCCTGTCACATGGACAGCTCTCAGCAGGTAAAAGCAAACTTACTTCCTTACAATCTACTGCTGCAGACCTTTTTATGTTTCATTTTTTTCTTTTTGAACTGCTTCACCACAGGTGAGAATTTTCAACACTTTTGTATCTGAGGCATTGTTTCTCCAAGAGGTGCTGAAACAAGTCAGATGCTCTCCAAAGAAACAAGCAAGGATAGTGAAGAAAGGGGCAAGAAACAGTTTGTAAATTTCAGCTCATTTTTCAAGGATACCAACTCTGACACCCCTGAAAATCTCTGCAAACACATCTGTTAAGGTTTTCTCTAAATAGTTAATGCACTGCATTTATCAGCACTGATATTTCACAAGTATCAGCATGAAGTTAGTCCTTAAAACATATTTTCGTCCAAGTATTCTTAGTATTTGTGTCCCTTTGTTGTTGCCAGAATCTTACTCCCGTGAGACCAGCCACAACTGAGAAAGGTGTCAACTAGTGTGACAGAATGACTACAGTCCGTTTGAGAAAGCTGATGCCTTAAAGCAGATATTTGGGACTGAAAAATCAGAATCTTGCAAACTTCTCTGAGGCAGGGTTGGGAAGTATGTCTAGGAGGCCCAGGAACAGCTGAGGAAACCCGTGGTCTAGCAGCATACCAGAGCACTGAGAAGCAACCAGGCTAAGCTAACTGGAGCATAATTAGTTCCCAGACTGAGACTGGAATCCGTGATTAAGCCTGAGCCCAATTATAACATATCTATAAATATCTGCATAATGTTTGCTGGATGCATTTAAAAGGAAGCAGATTAAAAATAACAAAAATGGGTGGTTCCTTATGATCATAGCTTTTATCCTATGTTATGAATATAAATTCAGTTTAGAAATCCTCACCATCAAAACACCTTACACTATTTGAGGCATGAAAATAATTCAGCAGCTTTTAGTAAGCTAGTAAGACAAGGTACAAAACATACTATTGTTTGTAATCCTGCTCAGCATTTGCTATACTTCCATTGCTCAGTAAAATCTGATGCTAAGTCAGGCTGGTATCACAGTATTCAAACACCACATTTTCACACTGAGGTAAACAGAAATCCACCACATAAAAACATAACTTCTGAGTGGCAGTTGTTTTCTACACTAAATTACAATATTAATTAATTGCGTAGAATGTTTTCCATTGGATCTTGTGTAGATTGATCCACTAATAATGTGTTGTTCACTAAATGAGAAACTGAAATATCTTAGCTGTGTGCCATACAAATAACATCAGCTGTTTTTTTTGTTTGTTTTTTTTTGTTTTGGTTTTTTTTTAGATTTCTCTGTCAAATCATGGCCTTTCTCAACTATAAAACAGTAAATGGGTAATTGTTAAGGCTTTCAAATTGCTTTAAGAATGATTAATTTATTAAAACAACAACTTTTTTTCTGGATTAAAAAAGCCTATAATTAAATAGTAACATATATTTAAACAACTATTGTGCAAAACGAAGTATTACAATTGTTTCAACAGTTTTGTCATCATTGTTAGGAAGACTAACACTTATCACATGGCACGTAAATACCTGTAAAAACATCTCTGTTTTGATCTGCATGCAACATATTTTTCCTCAATAGTTTCCCAATATTGCAGGTCAGGTAAGGATCAGTCATGATAATGTTTGGCAATCTAAAACTAATATGCATAATTCTTGGTTGTAAAGGCTCATTTATATCATCTTTCTTTCCCAAGAGAAGCAGTGATTTACACAGTAGCACATGTAGCATAGTCTATAACACCGTAACACTTTAACTAGTATTAGTCATGGAATATATCTACCAGCCTGAAGTGCTTTAAGAAGCTGTCATACCCTATTGTTTGCTGGCCATCTTAAGCTAATAAATTTGGTGTCATAATCTGTTATCAGGAATAGCAGACTTGAAAGGAAGAACATTATTGCAGAGAAATCACGTTTCCATTCATACAGTGATTAGGTATGAGGTATAACTGAGCATGAACAAAGAGAAAAAAAACCCCACAACTTTCTGCATTTATTATACCACCAAAAGAAATTCCCTATTCTCGCTGTTTGCAACACAAACTTGTACGATTAACTGCTTTGCTATTTTCCACAGTAAGTAAATCAAATGAGACATTCAGTCATTCTTGCTCCAAATTAAAGTATTTCACTGTAGAACAAAATTGGTATGCTTGTGGTGCTGTGCTATAAATAGCAGTGCTCATTTAAAATGCAAAAAGAGCATTTTTATATTGTTGGCTGAAACATCCATAAAATTCAAGTAAATTTAAAAGTCTCTATTCCTTCCTTTGCTCATACAAAAGGATCTTTTAGAAAATTAATCTGATAAGCAAACGTGAAAGTTAGCTGTTTCTCACCTTGCACACTAGGTCCAGAATCTGCAGACTGGGCAGGGTTTAGTGCCCAGTGTAGCTGACGTTGAAACTCGGGTCTGTCTTCAGTGTGAATCAATTCAAATACACTCTGGTGTATAATATCAGACTACATACAAAAAGGAAGAAGGAAGGAAATAAAGAATATAAGACTTCATTGACAATATGATGGAAGTTGTGTGTTGTCAACATTGCTACTGACACAATGGAATAATCTTTGCTCAGGAATAAAAACGTACATTTGCATGCAAATAGGAAAACTTCGTGAAACGCTTTTTGGCAGCAGAGAGAAGTAATCAGTCATGCCCATGACTGCAAATATGTAAAATAATAATAAAAATATTACCTTACAACAACAAAAAAAACAACGGTTTCTATTTTTTTTTTTTTTTTAATCTGTTTTTATCTAAGAAGCCTAGCACTGTTGTGCTTATGTTTTGTTTAAATCATTTCCTCCAACATACTGGTAAATAAAATACTTGCCAGCTGGTTCTTTGACATGGCCCATTCTGGGTGCTCCAGGAATACAAAACTCACTGAAGACCATAAACTCTCAAAACTAAGTCAAGCAGATTTTGAACACTAGTTCAAAGTCTTATCAGTCCTTAAGAATGCATTAAAATCTGTACTTGTTAAGTTCCTGTATCACCACCATTTGTGTGGTTAGGAGTATGATCTAAATGACAAAGTTACAACATCCAGGATCAATTGTCGAAAGCAATTAAAGGAGAAAAGACAACCATAATGGGAAAAATTCCACCTACAGTATTCAATAGAAATATATGTCAATTGAGAGTAATTAAACTGCTTGTTTTCTACATAAATCAAAAATCCAGCCATTATATAAACACAAAATATTTTAAAATAAAACATAGATCTAAGAAAATTAAGTTGAGTTGGCAAAAGTAGAAGTCAAATTTTGCCCTGATAAATTTCAAAGAAGAATCAATATTTTCTAGAAAAGATTGCCAGAAATGCAAATTTCTAAACCTTCAAGACTCCTAAATCATGTATATGACTTATTGGCACTACTATACAAACCTTATACAAAATCTTTTTTTTCCAAGTATTTTTCTTCATTTTCCAACACTGAAACAATCTGTAACTTAAGTAATAATAGTGTTTTGCTTGGAATGTTTTCTTTTATGCAAACATTCCACAAACCCTTATCAGTTAGCTAAACTTGTAGACCAAGTAGAGTTTTTCTCTATTTTTAGGCATCAATTGTATTTATCATTGTCCAGTACTCAACAGATGTGAGAATAAATATAAACTGATAACTATGTGGAAATATTTCACCACAGAAGCGCAGTAAACACATATGTGTTTTGCAGAGATGTAGCTCGTGGTTGAACAAGAAGGTCATTTGTAACTCAGCACATTTTAAAAAAAAATCTTATGTCACAGCAGAAAATTATTCAGTTTATGTACCAGTGTACTTAATATTGAGCTAGATTTAATTGTTGTCATTTATGCAATACTCAGTAATTCAAGTGCAGTCTCCGATATCATCCAGAAAAGGGCTACTGCCTAACAGGAATTCTGTATGCAGGAAGAAGAAAAGGGCAGGGATTGCCAAAGCCAGCATCGCTGGACCATCTTTGGATCAATCTGTTCATTGATCTACCTAACTCCCACGCAGAGATAAGAACCAGCACAGCTTAACATAAACTAATCCCAGGAGGTGCATTACGCACAGAACATGTGATCTCTGGATCTTGGCCTTTACTATTTTGGTACATGTTTTGCAAGGCCATACATGATCTTCATGATAAATTATAATTAACAAATGCTTGTTTTAAATTAATAAATGAGTGGGAAGGAATGGAGAAAAACAGTGAACTAAAAAACCTACAATTACTAAAATCGTTGAATAGATACTTAAGAAAGCCTCAGAGCATATGGACTTAATTTTTATATGAAAGGTTCCCATTAAAATAATTACCTTCCCACTGAATTATGTCTCATTCAGCATCATAAACTGGGTAACACCACAGTATAAATTTCAAACAGTTGTTCCAGTAAAGACTAATTAAGTGTGAAAATTTCCTATCTTGCCTAACTCAGCTTTGGAAATGGTATTCCTGTTGTGCTTGGCTTGAGATTCGATTTTGGCTACATGAGCTGATAGAAAAGTAACACAATTTCGAAGTAATCAGCTCAGAATATCTGACTGTGAATTTTATCACACAATCAGACCCTAAACACTGGTGCACCCAGAAACTAACAAAAATTTCTGCAACAAAAAAAAGAAGCAAACAAACAAACAAAATCTTACTTGCTGGAAACCCAGGTAGTCTTGGATGGTAGATGAGACGTAAAAAACCAGAGCATCTGCTGTCACAACTAATACAAAGCCATTTAATGCCTGGGAAAGAAATGCATCAATGTCAGCTTCAGAGACAACTTTTCAGATAATAATTGTGGCTTTAACTTTACCTATACCCTAGTGTCACAATAAATTGTGAAGAATGCAAGAACACACCATTATCTTACAGCATAAACAGAAGGATTCGTCATCACCTCTCTCTAAAGCACACATGACGCAATAAAGAAAACCGCATCTAAGGAAGAAAAACGTTCTGGAAAATTCCAGGAAATGAGTCAGAGGAGAAGCAAAAACTTGTTGATGACTTGTTTACTCCTAATTATTGGAGCTGAGGGGCAGCAGCATGAAGAGCTATAGGCTTATCTAGTAACAACCCTAGTTCACAATGCTTGCACAGTTCAAGTCTTCAGGACATTGAAAAGCCTGCAGTACAAAAGGGAGAAACATCATAAACTGATTCCCAAAATCTCTTCTATTCATAGCACAGACAGGCCTAAGTGGACAGGAAATCAAGCGATCAAGAGTCCCTGTATAGCCCAACAAACATTTTATAGCTTACTTAAAATAGAAGACCTCTGCACAAGCTGACTGTTGCAAGCAAACAATGTTTTCGAAGAGATTTCCCCCTCCATGTAGAAGCAGACTCAGTGGCTCCTTGTTCAAAGTCACGCAAAGGACATTTATCTGAACTCCAAATCAATATGGTTCATGGCAATTGTTGTGATAGCAAACAGAACATTTGTGACTTGGCAGCTCATCTGAAAGGTGCTGATTTACTTCTATGGATTTCAGTCAAGATTTAACAAAAGGCCGTCTCGAGAGACTGAATTAAGTATGTTGTGCCACTTAATTTCCTCAGCTGTATTCAAAGTTGAATTTGGCCAGCATACCAAAAAAATATTTTAAAAACTCTTCATTATGCAAAATTATTGTAACTATTAGAAAATGTAAAGTAAGTGAAAGATATTCTATTTGTTACTGTAACAACATAATAGTATATTTTTCTTATGAAACAAAATTATTTATTCACAAATTAACCCCTTTGGCACCATACTACGGTAACCAAGACAGCTGCTTCTCTGTATTGTGCAGTGATATGGTTTTACTATTTCTTGTTCTTCTACTCATCTAATTAAGACAAGTTAACTATCTGATTAAAACACTGGTGACTTCTGTGTAAAGTACACGCAATGCAATGAATAAAATTTCTGAGAAGTGCTCCAGTTTAATTTGTAGACACTTCTTAACTTATCCTCACTCGTCATCACAAGCTTTTTAAAACCTCCTTGTTTCAGTTTAGTGAATTCTATCTCAAACAGTATTAACTTATAAAAAAAGTCTGAAACAGTGAAGCCAATCCAAGACATCTTGAGGTTCAAAGTGTCTCAGAACAGTTACATAAAATCCTCGAGTTCGATAAAGTTCATACCAATCCCAAAGGAGTGGGAAAACTGCAACGGCAGGTGCTTGTGTCCTCCACTGACCTACTTTGCAGTGGATTTCACCTCAAGTGGTTGATATAAAACTTCTGTGAACTGTACAGTGTCTAACCCTGTGCCACACGTTAAAATTACTTATTCTGCTCTGCTTCATTCAAAGCTTCAATTTTCAAAAAGTTCCTTTACCTGGAATTCAATCACATTTTATAGTGGCTCTGTCAGGCAGTTCATTTTGAGGCTGTTACTGCAGAAATCAGATACCTTAGGTAAGCCAAAAATCCTGTAAAACAATAGGGCTTTTTTTTTTTTTTTTTTTTTTCCTCCCCCTCAGATATCTATGACAAAGGATTGCTAGTAGTTTCTTAAAATATGCAGGTATCCACCGTATGTCAATAAACCCAGTACTGATTTTTAGGGAGCTTTTAGCAAAATCTATTCCTAAATTAACTACCCCTAGAGTTATAATGAAATTTTTCATTGATTTTATTATTTCAGAGCATTGGAGACTATATTTTTGCTTGTACAAAAATACTCTCATTACTCCTATACTCCTTGATACTCCTAAGTATCAAGATAACTGCAAATTTGTTCATTAAAGTAATTTTAAGGGATATATGACTTAATTTTAAGGAGGGAATACTAATGTATTTGATCTCTACTTCTACCATATGTTGAAATGGTAAGAAAATGAGTTTTATATGGGAAAGTAAAGATATCTCAATTTTCTGTTTGTTATAAACGAGATAGAAAGGTAATGAGCAATGAACAACGCAGTATATATTCATACCACCTATGCAAAGAACAGAGAATAAAAAGGAAACATTCATCATCAACAGTATATGGAAATAAAAGTGATGAAAAAGCTCCTGAGCTTAGGCAGAAGACAAGGTGGTTGCTACTATTTACATCTTATCAATATTCCATATCTTCTAGGTAATTCCCATCTTCGTCACTTAGCTTCTTACATTCTCTAAGAAAAGTCTACCTGTTTCTTCATTCTCATGAATGACTTTTTCAAGAGTAAAATATTTAACAAATCAAGAAATTCAGTTAAGAAGTTCAATTAATTTATTCACTCTCCAAGGGCTTAGAATTTATTGTAATAAATATAAGTATCTATTTCATTTTCACTTTGGAAAGCCTTTTGTTACAGCACTTCCATCACAGAATATCTTAGCAGTCATAAAAAGTAACAACACAACTTTAAACAATAAGATGACTCCAATGTAACTGTATCTTTTTAGATAATTTACGTAAAAAGATGCTTACCTTTAACACCTCCCTTTTTCATATTTTAATAAAGTTAGAAAAGTACAGTCATGTCCTACCTTCTTCAGTTAGTTGGGAAACCATTTTCCATAAGCGTTAAATTTACAGTAAATGTTTTGCAAGATTCTTGGGAGCTGTTTTCATTCCACTTTCTGAACAGTCAAATTTATCTTTTTCTAAGCAAATCACTGCTTCTGATCAACCTACTAATTTGACAATTCTGATATGTCAGTGGGGAAGATGCTCACACAAGATAGATTAGGAACATGTTTCAAATGGAGTTGAAGGTCACAGTAAGATATATTCCATGAAACTAGAACACTGGAATGCTTATCTTAGTCATTTCTTGAGTTTCATTTGGACCTAGTATTTTATCATTGTATTCCATATGCTTTGTCATGCTAGGATATTAAAAAAAACTAAATAATTTAAAAAAGACACATATCAGTTTTCATTAATGCTTTCCAGTTGTTCATATGGCTAAAAGTTACTGGAAGTATTTTAAAATAGATCCTAAACCTACACTGTGAACTCCAGGTTCTCTCAAACAAGAAACCACTGAGAAATCAAGATACTTCCGCAAGTCTAAGCTCTTTTACAGAGAACATTTTTTTTCAAGATAGTGATCAAATTTGCAGTAAATAATTGATGTCTCTAATAATATTCATTAAGGTCAATAGAGATATAGAGATTAAAAAAAAAAATAGGTGCAAAGAATGGAAAAATACAATGTTAAGAATTGACATATTCCAAGAGCTAAGAGATCCCTGCAGATTAAAATCTGCCCCTCAAATTTACTACTACCTCCAGCTAAAAGTGCAAGAGTGGCTTAGAATCATAGAATTTCTCAAGTTGGGAAAGAGTGTCAAGATCATGAAGTCCAACTGCAACCTGACCATATTACCCTAACAACCCAACAACCATAAATTAAACTGAAGAAAATGAGACAATAATCTGATAACAGGAAAACATCCTTTTTCTATTTCACTAGTGAAAAAATAGTATCAGAGTCTAACATTATTTTAACTTAAATGGATGCCTAATAGATGCTGTCAACAGTCTACAGGCAGATCCACTGCAAAACATACCTGCAGTAAGAGCTCTCCTTCCAGGATCTGCATCCCTTCTCCAAGTCTTGCTGTTCTGTTTTCCTGAACGCCATTTCTTTCTAGTCTTGTAGAGTTTGAAGATTTTAATGCAACTATGAAAAAAAAAAAAAAAAAGAAAGAAAAAAGTCTGAGTGATCTTTGGAAGGCTCACCAGAAATTCATGCAACTTTGTGTAAGAAGAAAACATATTTTAAAAATGATTATGAAGTCAATCTAATAGAAGACTATCTCGATGTCAACATTTTTTCATTACTTCTAAAGATAGCCCACCTAGATTCTATGACATTTTCACAACAGAATCAGCATTAGGGAACTCAATATCTATTTTTTCCCCCCTTTCTCCTCCATACTACAAGGCATACTCGCAGTTTATCACTCTTCTTTATACAGGAAATTTTTGTTTCCATACAACCACCTCAAACAGCATAACAATAATCCTGCTTTAAAATTAGATTACAAATAATTTCACTAATCTGATTTCAGAAATCTAACTATGGCACCTCACATAACAGCCTGCTCTAAATCTGAAGCTCCATTCAGGGACAGGAAGGAGACACACAGGAACCCTACATGCATATTACACGTTAAAGAAAACATTAAGTAAAGTCACCATCATGTTTTACCATTACAAAGCTAAAAATAAGGGCTTTTTCCCTTCTTTCCTATCAGATTGAAATGTTAACAGTTTAAATAATTAAGCAAACTTTTCAATTTCATCTAAACTACTTCAACCACAAATAACTTTAATTCACATAACAAACAAACAAAAAAACTTAATGGGTAAAGGACAAACAATCAGTCCAAACAGCAACAAAGGAGAACTAGATACTCAAAGCTTGTCCATGACTCAGAAGTTATGTACTTATAGTTCTAAAAATAAAAAAAAATACCACACACAAAAAAATCACTATCAAATAAATAAATAAATAAATAAAACACCAAGTTCCCAAAATTGAAATTATTCTCATTGGATTTGTAATATGCAGACAGCTTAAAATTATGAGTAATTACACCTTAAGCCCTTACTTTAAAGCTAAAGAAAAAAATAGCAGAAAAATCTGTAAGCTGCAAAACATGGACAATTAATAAAAGCAACTGTACTGTTGTGTTTCCCTCAAAGATGAGGTAGACACCCTAAATTCCAAATGATTTTTCAACCTATTTAAAAAAAGGCTTCAATTTTGGCTTCTGAGAATGCAGAACTCCTAATCACTTTTCAAATATGTTAAATGATAATTTACACTAAGCATGTTAACTGAAAGATAAATTATGCCTTTCAGGTTTGTTTTCTTTAAGCTATCACTACAACTCATAACATTCAAGGCAGACAGTTTTCATTAAAATATCCCTCAAAGGCACTGCAGAAGAAAAATGTGTTAAAAAAAAAAATAATAAAAACAACAACTGATTAATGAGCCAGGAATTTATGTCTGAAATTAAATCCTTCATGTTCTTCTTCCAACTACATAGACAAAAAGTCATATAAAAGGCTACACAATTGAAATTGCAAATTAATTTTTCACACAAGTAACTGAAAGATTGTGTAATATTTTTTCCTCTGCTTTATTTTAAAAATAAATACAGAACATTTAGTAAAACCCCCTGAAGTCCTCTGGCAGAAGAATATCTATTATATTATTAATTTACATTACATGCTTATTGAGAAGCTTTGGAAGTTCCATGTAGAGATGCATAACCGCGCCTGCCATTCTGAAAAAGACTATACACAGTTACACCAACTTTAAAAAGTGAAAATAATAAATGAGGGGGACGAATTACAGAAGGTTATCAACTGAATGATGTTCTGCTCTGAATCAGAATCAATGCACAGAGCCATAGGGCCTATATATTGTATAGTCTATACACGCTTGTGGCTAGATTCATCACTGTTGGCAAGGCATGCAGTTACATGTCAGCTCCACATGCTCTGATGAACCAGAACCCAAGCCTTTTGCAGAAACCAGAACATGGATAAAAAGCTGCACAAAATATGAGATTAAAAAAAAAAGGATGGAAAGCACAACTATACAGATCATTAGAAGAGTACATCTTGATAAACATACTCCATTACATTTCTCTGACAGAGAAATCACAGGCACATCTGTGGGTGCTAAAAGTCACCTTATCACAGCACGGGCTCCCTGAACACCCACAGATAGGGTGAAGAGATTGCATCACAGGGAACTTCACAGTTTGAGACTTTGAAGATGCATCACTAAGTGATGCTCTAAAACACCCACACTTTCAAAGACTTCATGAGGAAATGTCATTTATGGGAAGTTTTTAATCATCCAATCAATAGTTATCAAATTGAAGTGCATATGTTGCAGACGTTCTTCCCTGGTTTCTACAGACTTGATTCCTATACTCTAAAAGTGAAATGCCATTTACTGGGCAGAAAAAAAAAAAAATGAAGAGCTTAGCAGGTATGAGAAAAAGCCAGTTTCACATAGCAAAAAAAATGAAGTTAGCTAGATGAAACAAAAATCAGAATTACAGGTAGGATTCACCATTCATTTTCACTATTTCTCAAAAAAAAAAAAAAAAAAAAAAATCCCTTAAATTTTGGTGGTAAGAGATTTCCACAGAAATGCAGTATGCAAGCAGTGTGTGGGAAAAAATAATCTCTGAAATAACTGCTTCAGGTCTGAAGCTGAATTCAAGCAACTCTGTTCTAATTACTGCCAAAAGACATCTTTCATTTTAAAAATACATGATTATTTGAGAGAAGCAAGTATTAAGCAGTCTTCCTTCTTTCCAGAGGATAACATCCAGTATGAAAAACTGCTTTGGGATATATACTGCACTGCATGAGTTCTAAGCAGTATTCTGAATCAACCATTAATACAAGACAGAAAGATAAATTTCAGGAACTAACTGTTGAGATACTCAGAAATTAATCTGTTATGATGCAGACAACCAGCTCACTTTGATCCTTCTGAAATTTTAGGAATAACAACGCATCTAGGTTCTAAATGACCTTTTAAATTGCACTTCCCTCAGTATAAATCTTTCAAAGCTTTCACTTCTCATGGGAGAAAATTCTCAGATTCTTCATCTCTTCAGATCAGGTCCTCAAACTAAGAAGCACTGAACATCAACGGTAGCTACTCAGTGAATTAATCTGAAACCACACCTACACTGCAATCAAGCAGCAATCAAGAAAGAAGCAGAAAATTTTATGTAACACAATCTTAACTCCTAGCAGAAGCATATTAAAGAACACTAGAACAGTGATTTAACTAAATAAATGGTCTGTCATCACTACACTTCAACATGATGCTGATGATCCTTCAACAGAAGCCCCAGAAGGGGATGAAAAAGGCCTTTTTCTACCTTCAAATGTTCCATTCTCTAGGGTTTCTATTTGGCACCCGGAACCTACTGATATTCTCTTCCTTCCAGGCAGTCAATTCTGTTCTCAGAGAAAACTTTTGTTATTTCCTCACTTGAGAGCTAGATGCTTTGAAGTCCAATCTCCCATATTCTACTGAGTTCAGATTACAAAAAATGAAAGACCATGCAGAAGTCAATGTTGGCACCCTTGAGCACCTTCAGCAGGAATCCTGGAAACAGAGATTTCTCATTCTGTTTACAAGCAGTTACTACAGCAGAGGACTGAAGCTCTATCACAGGGCAAGCATGACAATACCTGTACCAACACTATTGTCTTACAAAATATTCTGTTATCTGGCCAGAGTACAAGAGATGAGCACTGCCAGCACCGTGTCTCATCGTGTTGGCAATACTAAGTTCAGCCAAACTGTGTTCTTTCATCGTTTTCCTCAAAGCTTGAAAATATTTAACTTAAAAAAAAAAAAAAAAAATTATAAACCATAATAGATTTTAAAAATTATTATTACTTCTGTGTTGAGCGAATAGTTTTCCTGGCACAAATGAATAAAGTGTACCTCACTTAATGGTGCTCGGCAGTGGAGTCTGCAGAGATCATTCTCAACTGAAACCTGAGCATTTCCACACCAAACATCTCTTATTACTCTTCAACCAGTGAAGAAAAATGTATACTTTAACAGACTTTCCATTGCAAAATTCACCTGAATACACACTGATTCAACCAATGTTGGCTGAGAAGCTTCAGGAAATCTTAGAAAGCTACTCTGTATTTAGGATCTTTTATCTTGGCTACCCTTTCTCTCTCAAAGAAAAGGCTTGGCAAAATTTTTTTGAGGAGTCAGACTAGTTTAACGCAGTGCTGTGCAAAGAAAGGAATGTGGAGACAACATCTTAACTGGGTCTTTTAAAATCACGTTGAGACGCACTCAAATCTGCATGGAGATCATTTTACTGTTTAGGTGAATGATCTGCTCAAGTCTATAACTGTACTGAAGTAACGCTTGCCTAATATCACAAGCATATCATTAGCACATCAGTCATGCAGTTCTGGAATTTAATCTTAAAGAGCTTCCCAGAACTGCTTTGTATCAAATTTTGGCATAGTTCCCACAATTAGGCCAAACAGGTCAAAGTTTGTGGTCAGAGCCCATTTAGACTGTTTCACAACCTTTCCAGTAGAATTATAAATTCAGCTAGCCTGCTCCAGATTACTTTAACAAACAACAGCTCTCATGAGGGGGGTGGCCTTATTCACTTCAGTAACAAATACTAACCTCCCGCACAAAGTTCACCAACTAAAACAAGACATTTCTAAAGGCCAGGAGAGCACTACTGAGAAAACTGAGTTTAATATTAAACTTCTGCCTAAATCATTAACATATGCTAAACTGCTTACTAAAGATCCATTTTAAGAGACAAAATACTCTCTAACCATCTACCTATGTGCAACCTTTGCAACCTCATCTCCATTACTTAAAATCATATGAAATATTTTGCATCCATTGTGTCTAAGACCAAAAAAGGAAAATGTTCCAAGCTATCAAGTAATAAAAAGAAAAAAACATGCAATTAAAGATTTTCTTTTTTAGAAAGGTGCACTGTTTATGTATTTTGTACAGAACTACATTTGTACTAGAAAAGATAAACTGCAGAGTTTATTAATAAAACCAACATGCTAAGGACTGCTCTGTACTTACAAAGTCAAGATAAACACAATTCAGAATTATCATACATTTGT